TAAAAATCAAGATCTCACAATTATATCCAGTCAGGATGGTCACTGTCTCTGCAGTCAGGCTGTTTGGACTGATGGAGACCATGTGTATAATAGTCCTCCCGCCGCCCCCCCCCCCACATACACAGATACTTAAGAATTTATTTGTGTAGTTACCAGTATCTCCATAACCCTAGCTACAAGTTCTCATTGAAACCATAGATGCTACTCTAAAGTCATATTCATGAGCCCAGCTCTTGCTCTGGATAATCTGTTAACTCACCCTGCACTGAAGAAAAACCACCAATTCACTCAAGGTTCTCTTCCAGTAAATTCCACAGAGCACTGTTGTTAACATTTAACCTCCAGGGAGTGCCTATATCAAACTGTGATTACTCAGTTTCTTATAAATTAAGTCTATGCACTACACTAGTTAGAAGTTACACACTTTAGCCTCTCTCTTACTTACACTATGCCTGTGTAATACAATCACATCTGTCTGTGGAATTCTGCATTCATCCATTTCATATTAATATCTCCATCTGCTGTTGCCATGAGAAAAAAAGACTATATCAGAATTTATTACTTCAGTTTCCTGGAAGAAACATGGGAACCCAACATTGAAAAAATCCTGAATAGTTGGATAATTGACCAATAAAATTATGTAGGCCAGGTAACTTCTATTTTAGAAAGCTAATCATTGCTAATACATTTTCTTTAATGGACGAGGTCCTGTCTGGATTGTCTATTTGGTTTTCTGTGTGTTTTGGTGATTTGTGTTTTCCATGTTTCAAGTTATTAATCTCTTTCATCCAGGTTACTAATTTATCTGCATATGTTAAATAAATCAGTTTCTACTGTTTTATGATTTTTTTCTTTATTCCATGTGTTCAGAGATAATGGTCCCTTTTCCATTCCAGTAGTAAGCATTCCTTCTAAATCTTTATTTCTGGTAGGCCTGTCTAGAGTTTTATCAATTTTATTGATCTTTTCAAATATTCATCTCTTGGTTTTGTTGATTTTTTTCTATTGCTTCCCTGTATGGAATTTCATAGATTTATCCAATATATTTTTCTGTTGCTTGCTTTACCCTTAAATTGCTTTCTTCATTATTTCCCAAGGTGAAAGCTTGGGGAACTGCTTGAAAAATATTTCTCTTCATAAATATATGCTCTTAATCCTATAAATTCTCTCTGTCACATAAATCTTGTAAAGAAATGTACTTTAACTTTTACTTTCTTCAAACAAATGCCAAAGTCTTCTGAAATTTAAAATTTCGGAGTACTCACCTTACCTAGAAGTAGGCTATTTTATCCTCACATAGTTGAGAATCCAGCTAAGTATTGTTGATTTTTTTTAGTTTAATCGCATTCCCCTTGGATAATACTTGGGTGGTTTTAGAAAGAACAAAAACAGACATTACTAACTGATGGTGATACTCACATCTGCTGTCTCCTAAGATGTTTCCTGTAGCAATTATTGAAATAACAAGCATATTGAAGGATTCAAACAAGTTGGAGACTGATCACTGTCTCTTTTAATTCTCTTTTTAACAAGCATTTTGATGTTTCCATTAGGTGAGTGCACACTAGATGACTATTTTCTTGAAGAACACTTCACAAAGTGGGATTGAGTTGGATTGTATACAACATTTTAGGGTGGTATTTCTTGTCCCAGAATGTTTTCCTTGTTTTTTAATCTGCTTATCCTAAGTTAATGTGGCTGTTTTGATTGTCTATATGACATGGCCTCTATCCTTCTTCCATGTCATTTCCCCGTATTATTGTAGACACATTGTTGGGTGTTGTTGTCAAACATTAATAGCATCTAGCTTTTAAAACATGTGTTTGTTGTTTTCACAATTAAACTGATATTTGTCAAAATAGCTATGTGATTATTGTCTCTTATGGGTTAACACATGCCTGAACACTCTGAACACTTACATATTTTCAACCAATTTAACTCCCCTTAAAAGCATCATAACACCTAACCAAGCTTCATAGTGTTGTGGAGAGTTATTTTTGAAAGGATAATTGGTTTCAATTTTCTAGACAAAGATAGCAGTGGCAACATTTTACTTACTGCTGAAATGTGTGTTCAAAAGTACTTAAGATAAGCCTTTGTTTTATACACTCACCACAAGAACAGAGAGCAAGAGTGACAAGACTTTTTTTGGGGGTTTTCGAGACAGGGGTTCTCTGTGGCTTTGGAGCCTGTTCTGGAACTCTCTCTGTAGACCAGGCTGGCCTTGAAATCACAGAGATCTGCCAGCCTGTGCCTCCTGAGTGCTGGGATTAAGGTGTGCACCACCAACACCTGGCTGACAAAACATCTTAATTCCCCTTTGTTCTCCTCATCTGACTCTCCTTTTCCTTGTACAGTACAACATTTTTGTTTGTACACTATTTTTCTCTCCAAACAACTTCTGGAGTTGTTTCCAAGACTTAAGTTTGCCTGAATAGATTATTTTTCTTCCTTTGAGAATTCATCTTGGTGGACACATAATTCTAGTGTTTTTTTTTCTCCTTCAACATTTCAAATGTTTTAGTGGACACTCTCCTTGCTAGTAGGTTTCTGTTGAAAATCTTGTCATTTTTTCCTTCTCCCCTTCCCTCTCTTCCTCCTCTTGTAACTCCTTCTCCATTCTTCTCTTCTGTTACCTCTTCCTCCTTTTTCTCTTTCTTCCTCCTTTCTGCTCCTCCTCCTCCTCTTTCTCTTCTTCCTTCCCCTTCTCTTCTTCATCTACTCCTTTTCATTCTCTTCCTCCATTTCAGCCTCCTTCTCTTTCCCTTTCTATACAGATGAGTATGGTTTCTTCCAATGTTTTTAATCTTTCTCTATTGAGAAAGTGTGGTAAGCCCAAAAGATTTCTGACCTTTCCCTTCCTGCTTTGTGTGTCATAAACCACCTTAATCTGGTTTGGGCATGTGCTAGGTCTATAGAATTCGTATTCATGATTATTCCGTAGGTCCCCCCCCCGCTCACTTCTCCCTTCTCCACTTGGTATTTCACCTTTTAAGCAAAGGTCTCTTGTATTTAAAGGTGGGAAGATTCTGGTCTCACACTCTGAGAACATGACTCCTTCCTTGTGTTTAATTTACAGAGCCATCAAATATTTTTCTCCATGTTAGCCAAAGAACATGGGCAAAATTGCTTCCTTTTGGCTCTCCTTGGAGTGTTCGGGCTACTCTGGACTTCTCTAAGTCCCTCAGTTCTTCGTACTATCTGTATTTTTTTCACTCTTGCACTAACACATTATCCTGGCTATTTGGGGTATGCTGCCAAACTCCTAGAATCCCTTAACTGCTTTTCATTGAATGTGCTTTGATAGCAACTGGATTCTCTGAATTCTCTTTCCTCTCATCCCTTTCTCTTCTGCTGCTTCCACTGCTTACTTCATGTTCCCTTTCTTTTACTTAAAAAATGTTTTTTAGTAAATTGATGTTTCTAGGTTTGCATTTGTTTGTGTGAAAACTGGATCTGATCTATCCAATAGTAGAGACTGGGAAGAATTCACCATGAGTGAGTATTGGCTCCATTTAATTGCTTCACTTTAATCTGGCCAGGAGCTGAAATTCATTGAATACCTGATATAGAGAAATTAATTTTCTCCCCAGCCCTTGTTTTGCTCTTCTTGTTGAGTTTTGGATCCTCTAAGGAGTCCTATGAGAGAGTCTCTGTCCTGGGACTCAGGGCTGGTACTGTGATGAGAAAACAGGGCAGAACATTCTGTGAGCCTTGATGAAATCTGCCCCTTCACTGAGCTTCTGACTAAACTGTGCCATCCCCATTTCTGCAACATCATAGTTTCTCCTTAAGCCTTCTTCAGTGGAACAGGGATACTGGAGAGCACTGCAGTGTAATAGAAACCTCTTCCCCTCAGAGAAGAGCCTTTGTTGTCAGAATGCTTCTTTATTCGAGTCACCAAATGACCATTCTGACCCTCTTTCAAAGGCTGTTTGGATATGTTTCTTTTCTTTTTACTGTTTAAAACCAATATGGTCTCCACCAAGACTGAACTCAGGTACTATAGTCTTACTTCCCTCCATATCCAGCCCTGTCTCTCCACCTCATTTGCTGAGCATTCTTGACTGGGTGTGGCCCAGGGACTCCACTCCCAGAACTGACTCCCCTGGAAAACTCACCCTTTTCTGATGGGTCCAGAAAAGGCCATGTGATGGGGAAGTCCCATGTATATGTCAATAAAGCACTGTTGGCCAATAGGGAAGCAAGATAGGTGGGACTAGGAGTCGAGGAGGACTCTGGGAAGGAGAAACACAGAGAGTCAAGATGTAGCTGCAATAGGGGCAAGAAGTTCGGAACTTTTCTCCAGTAAGAGAAATACTTAGAATAGCAACTATGGAGTAAATACTTAAGTCAGAGACAGCCAGTAAGAAACAAGCAAGGCCAACAGCTTCATAATTAATACAGCATCTTGTGTGTTATTTGGGGACTACAACATGGCAGAGCCCAGGCGACTGGTGGGGGAAAAACCAAAGTGGCTGGCAAGGAAAAGGCTTCTCTCTACAGCCATGTACTGTCAGTTTGCTCAGGTGTTGCTTGTGGTGATTTGAGAGTCCCCATTCCTCTTAGATGATGGAACAATAAACAAATCCTGTAGCTGTTGTGTGTGTAAGAAGACACACAAAGAATAAGTACTGTCATTTGGGCTCCTGGGAGGAGACTGGAGAACCCAGATTCCAGCCAGTTCTTACTGCCTGATTAGTGATAATTTACTCACAACTTGAAGCAATAGCCATTAGCCTAGGAATACAAGACTTTGGGAACAGTAGACCAGTATGAGTCATTGCCACCTCCTCCTCCTGCCAAGATGTGGGATGCCTGCCTGGATACAGTAGCTCCGGATGCTTGGCCAGCTTGTCAGCTGCTGCCATCTGTCTGCCTCTCATATAAATCCTCTCCCTTGTTGTTGGGTATATATCATGTTTTGTAGATGATTCTCCAAGGGAAGACTGATCTTTGTCATTCTCATGCATCCAGGTCTCTGCATGTCTTTCCCACAGGTTTGCAAGGCAGCTTTTCATGTGTCTCAGTGTGATTCACACTGTGTGCTGGCTAATTTACTACAACCTATGGATGCCAGGATCGCCCTGTAGAATTCAAAAAGTAAGTTTAATAGATTGTACATGGTAATTTGGGCCCTCTGGCCACAAGTGCTGTGGAAAAGGCCAGATATATAGTGCTGTTGACTAGCACAAGGCAGTGATTGTGTGTGTCATCCTGTTTGGTGTTCCTTCCCACCCCTGGAAATATGCCAGCAGCTGAAATAAGAAAAGTAAAGACACCTCTGTGTCACCCTCTGAAGCATATTCCCAGGCATGGAGGAGGGGTTTTCTCATGGTGAAGGCCAGGGACTGTCACACTATCTTGGCAATAAGCCCAGAGCTTTGTTTATTTGTATTCTTTTCAATCCTTCAATAGTAAAGTGAGTGATGACTTTGTAGATAGATTTAGCCACAATGAACTTAGCTGGACAGAACCACAATGTTTGCTCTTTGGATCCGAAGAAAGGACCAATGAGCTAAGTCAATTTATTACAGCCTGCGATTCACAGACCAACTGGACAGAAACTGGTAAATCCACAGCTTAGTGACAGCCCTTATGCTTCTGAGAAAAAACAAAGTTCATTAAATGTGCTCTAAAAAGCCTTAGTGTTGAAAATGACAGTGATGCTTATTTATTCATCATGCTTTGCTTATCAAACTCTCTAGAGAGAGGGAAGGAGAAAGACAGATAAGTCAAATGGGCAGAAAGACAGTGGAGAGAGATTTATCCTAATGATATTGTTGAAAAACAAAAGGTTATGCCCACTGTATCCTACCTACCCTTCTATCACATACTTGACAAGGTTCCCATGATCGCATTTACTTTATGCTTTAACCAAAGGATTCCTTAAGAAAATGAAAACATTTTAGAACAACTATGAGCTGAACTCCACCTGAAACTATACAGAGCATATAGTGAATTAAGAAAACCATGCTTTACCAAGAAGGCCACATAGCACACTGTAAAACAGCTACAGCAAGTCAAGATGGCCACATACCCAACTGCCCTGAAGCCATTAGATTAAGAAATTAAAATAGGGAATTGTTTCTGTTCTTCACAATCTTTCTTAATGGTGAAGCACCATGGAATGCGTGCCTACATTTCCATTTGTGGTTTTTATCCAACTTAGTGAGTCAGTTACTTAGGAAGTAGATTGGGAGTGGTGTGAAGATGAGGTCTGCGAACCAGCCCTTCACTGCCTTTAGTTTTAGAGACTTTAGGTAAAATTGAAACTTTAATTTCTTTGTCTTTAAAATGCTTCAAAATGGGAGCAACAACCTATATTTTTTTTCAAAGTCACTAGAAGGATGCAGTCATTTCTTGGGTTTAGTTATGCATCAGGCATGGAGAATACAGGAGCAGAAATGCAAGTTGTGACAGCATTGGAGGGTGGAATGTGACTTCCTGACAGTCTGCCACCCCTTTCCCTTAAAGAGAAGTTCTGTCCCCCTGCCCCCATTGTTAAGCACTCTTACTGTTAAACTTGATTTTAGACTAAAGATCCTGACTTTGCACATTGTGTTTGACATTTTATTTATTTGAAAACTCCTGAAAGTATCATGAGTCTCCATCGGAAATACATAACTAGGTTCCCTCTTCAAGGTTGGCTCACTTATTTTGCAGACTTGGCAATGACAGCAGCTGATGGCTCTGAGCTACATCTTTTTTATAACATGATTACTTTATTGATTCTTTGGCAATTTCACATCATGCACACCAATTCTGCTAAAAGCAAATGGCTAAATGACCACACCCTGGTCTTTTATTTGAGATCATTGCAATGTGCCATGCTGACAGGGCTGGAGAAGATGCATTGGCAAACTGGGGTCACCTAGTCCTAAGCACTTCATCCTGTTCTCCTCAATGGAGCCAAAGTGTCTCCCTTAAAGCATTCATGAGCAGGCATCTAGCTCATTGCCTGTGCTCAGAGTCTATCTCTAAAGGACTCAATATGATAGTCACCATTTTCTTCACTTACTTTATTTACTAGTTAAACCTAAAAGCATTGTGTTTGGCTTTGGAAATACAGAAGTAATTATGTTGTATGCATATATGTGTGTACAACATGCATACATTTTTACTCAACAAAGCATATTGAGAAAACTTATTAGTAGTTTCCATTAGTCTGTAACAAAGGAAGGAGCCAGCCAACATTCTTATTTTCCACCTGTGCCAGCACCACACAAAATCTATGGTTCACTTTCATTTTCTCATTTGTATTTGTAGGGCCCTGGGGCAAGAATTCAGTGCAGGCACCTTGTGCAATCATCGCTTCACAGTGATTACCATTTCTAAGACCTTGGGCTTTTACTTTTCTTTGTTTTGAGGAGCCTTAAACTTCCTCTTTCCCAGTCCTTTATAAATATGGCTTGGATCACTGTGAGCCTGACTGAGCCACTGTGCCACAGAACACTGGTCTATACCCCAACACTGTGTGTTTGCATATGTTGTCTGCCTATGATTCATCTCCTTACCACAGTTCTCTCTTCCCCAACCATATCTTCCTTTTGGCTTCCATGAATGAATGAGAGCATAGTTTTGTTTTTATGCATTGGCTTATTCCACTGAATATATACTCTAGTTCCATTCAGTTCCTGCAAGTGACAAATTTTAGTTTTTTAAAAAGTCATTCATTGGGTGTATACCTGTAGTTGGATGCTTTTATGTGTTCTGCATGTCCCCTGGTCTGGTCTCTTTCCCACTCATGGGTTCCCACATCTGATTATAAAATAATACTCTGAGGCTTACTATAAATAACAATTGTTGGGACAATACCCACAATTAAATTAAGCCATTCCTACTTATCTGGGCATTGCCTCCAGGCTGAGGAATTTAACTATAAGAGTAACTTATAGCCCAGTGTCTATATTATGTGGGGATTTTCAGGTGGGCTGGATGTGGAGACCAAGAATATCATCATTGAGAAGTATACAGCTAAATGTATAGACATCTCTAAACAAGAAGTGCCTTTCATAGAAGAGTGAGAATCAATTAGGACTCTATGCTAGGCTTCTAGGTAGCTTAGTGTTTCTCTGCAACAGCTCACCTTTTATTTCCTAAGGGACTGAAGACTTAATAAGATGGAGAATGAAAATAATCAAACAGATAAAAGCTATAATGAACCTGTATTTATGAAGCATCATACAAACACGCATTCTAGAAAGTAATAGCAATTTAAATGAGGGGGGTTATATGAGAGAGAGCCTGTGGAGTAAGGACAATATCAATGTCTTCTCATTTATATGTATTATACAAATATGTAATTATAAAATAGGTTTAGAACATTGAGTGGAATCTCCCTGAATTAGATGGTTGTTTTCTCTTTTTGAACTTGGTACAGAAAATCACAGAACAGCTGGTCTCACTTTAGTATGGGATGAAAAATTTCCAGCCAAGCTTTGTGCTACTCTTCTGGAGGAAGTATCAACTCAAGTCTTTATTTTTTGCACGTGATGAGTCAGTCTTCTACTTTTTGTTTCACGAGGCATTAAATGTTGGTGTTAGTTGTGGCATTGTCATCAACAAAGTACATGAGATCATGATATGGCTGGAGCCTCTGGAAGGTAGACTCCACTTACATTGTTTAGTCAATGAATGTGTACTGCCTCTGCATTTGATTTTAATGAAATGACCATTCCGATTTATAAAGATAGCTTAGTCATCCAATGCCAAGAACTCCCTGGATGTACCTTTCCCACTACCTGATTGGCCACTTGAAACACATGCCGAACCCATTTTGGTATAAGATGTGGATGTAAATGGTGGGTTAAAAACAATAAAAAGGGAGTAATTTTGATGTTTCCTTGAGATAGATTAAAAAATGTCTTTACTTCTAGAGTTTGGGACCTGAATGATTTGATTGGTCCTAAAACCATAAAGATATAACCCAGGGAAATTGATGGGTATAGATGATAGATAGATAGATAGATAGATAGATAGATAGATGATAGATAGATAGATAGATAGATAGATAGATAGATAGATAGATAGATGAGAGCTAGGGAGGAATGGTTGATGGAGTGAAAGAAGTGAGGAGGAGGATGGCAAAGAGGAAAGAGAAGACAGTCAGATCCCAAACATATTTTTGCATAAAAAATGAAAATTCTTTAACTCAGAAATGACTAAGATTCAAAGGCATGGTGAGCAATGGTTCCAGGTCTCCTTAAGGTGTGACTTGTATTCCATGTAGACTCACATGCTCCCACAAGTCTGTGCCTCAGAAATCAGCCTCAATCCCTTGAGCTTGGATTCTGGAACCCTTCACATCCCTGACTCTGGTGGGAAATTGTCTGGTCTTCCTTGGTTAAAGTAATCTCAGATGACTGAGTTCAGTGGGAGGGTGACTAGAGAGCACCTTACCATATTTGATGTGATGTAACAATACCATGGATTGAGTGGATAAAACATACTTGATTCTCACAATACTGGAGGCTGGGAATTTCAAGACAATTCATTGAAAGCTTTAGTGCCTCCAAAGGCTGAGACATTTCTCAGATTTCCTTGATCTTGTTGCATCATCAAATGGAGGAATTAGAGAGCTCTTTAAGATCACTAAGAAAGTAAATTCAACTTTCATAAGTTCCACCATCTGGGTCTAGTTGGCTGCTAATAATGTCACACAAGGGATTTAGATTTCCATGCATAGATTTTGGGAAGATGCAAACATTTTGTGGGGCACAAGGAAACACCTCATAAATAATAAGAAGCAAAAATAGGTTACACATAAAATATGGATGGGAGAGAGATGACAAAGCCTTGTATGCCCACTTGATCTTGCATTGTTTTTGTCATTTCTGCCCTTATCAGTATATGAGTAGCTTTGACTAAAGATGAACAATGGAATCTAGGATCCAGATAGTAGGTACTGTCAAGTTTTTAGGAGAGGTATGTGTAGGTGACTGGATCAGAGCTACTCAACATAAACTGGAGTTTGGGCATCTGATCTCAGAAGACTCAACAGAGTTAAGTAATTAACATAATAAAAACAAATTTCATATTTTACTGGCTGATTTTGTGTCAGTCATCAGGGAAGAAGAAGCCTCAGCTGAGGAAATTCCTTC